CGATCACATCACTCACGACAACGATTCATCGATCTAGTGAAAAGAATAGCCCAGCATCTTATCCATGGAAATTGGAGCGGCGAAAGGGTACACGGAGATGAAAAACTACCCAAAATTAAGTACTTTTCCCTCAATTCCTGGGTTCAGCCCAATAACCCAAATTTGAGTTAATCACATATACTAGTTTCCATTTAACAACAGCAAAAAATTACTTACTCTTAAGTATATTCTACCCAAAATTAAGTATAATTCACGTAAATTTGAGAATATGCAATTTACTCAGAAATAACTTTAAGGCCGGAACAAATCACAAGTTTTTCTTTTGTCACTCGATGCTCGCACCAGGGGAGTGATAAATATAACATTCAAAATTTGTTCTACATCACATCTAAACCGTATATTTCAAACGTTTTTGGAAGAGATGAACCAGCCTCTGGCTGAAAGTCTAGCTAATAAAGGTAACTTAACCTAACTTTCAAACGTTTACATTTCTTCTTAGCGTTCGCTTTAACCTTAATTTGAAGCCGAGGGGGACGACTCTATCTACGATGCAGGAAATATTGTGTTTTGCTGTGGCTAGCTGCGCGTACGCTGGGTAGATAGAAAGAAGATTTATCACGATTTTGCAGATTTCCTGCAAAAAGATGATGCGCGATGCAAGTAGATGCGAGAAATAATAGAAGATTTTTCAAAGATTTATTGGCTAGTGTGAGATTTTTTGAGCATCTAGAATTGAGATTTAGATGTGTCGCCCCCCTCGTTTGAAGCCGTGATTTTTTGACACTAATGCATAACAGAAGCCACAAATGTTGACTTTATTATGTGTAATACTCGGGTGTTCAACAAGATATTTCGAACATAAGTTTTTGTATCTTTTCAAGGAAGAACATTGGTAATAATGTAGATGAATAGGATCAAAGTAACTGATTTTTGGGCTTTGATAAATTCCGGGTAAACCATCAAGTGGAATACCACAAACGTAATAGTTCCTATAAAAAAAAACGTTCTGTTTTCGATAGGTTCCCTTATTCAAATATATCATGGCTGACAAAAGTAAAACTTGAAATTTGTTCCGGCCTTATTGGGCTGAACTACATCGTTGGTTCGAATCTCTCGTTCCTTTTTTGACAACAATAGCGAGTGCAAGTGAGAGGCTCAACTCAAAATTAAGTAAAAAGATTTCAAATTTTGGGTAGTATTTTTTCTCCGTGTGACATTGGTCTCATGTAAAATAACGATGAATGAATTAATCATTCTCACAACTCCTTGGAGTATAGCTAGAATTGCGATCGGAAGTGCTGATAGGTCTTCAGATTCAAGCTTGTATTGGTTATTTAACTGCCCATATGATGTATTCTAGGAAAGCTCAGGCTCGAGCTCAGGTGCCAAGGCAAGCGTCTGGTGATCGGAAGGTCATGGTTCGAATCCCATGCAACGACGTGTGGATGTACAGTTGTGTTCGATCACGCAGAAAAAACGCTCTGTAGTGAATTAATAAAATATTTTGTTATTTTTCAATACAATGTCTCGGTTTATTTCAGTTCATGAAGAAGTTTTAAATTAATATAGCACTCCATTCACATCAAATCTATAAATTTTATTGAATGCATCATTAATGCGATTGATTTAAATAAACGAAATTTTGTTTGTAACAATTATATATTTTATTCAATCCAAATGGTTACTTTGATTGTTTTAACTAAATATTTTTTTAAGTGCACGTTTCAAACAGTCAGTCTGTATCGGCATAGTTTGGCAAACGATAAGAAGTTCCTCCTGTCTATGCCTCCGTTATTTGCTCTTAAAATGTAAGTTATAATTTTATAAATTGTGTTGAATCGTTCAAATTAATTAATGTAATAAAAATTTCAGCGGTGACGGAACAAATTGCAGTAGACACGCAATTATAAGCTAAACCGGATCAAATACCAGACGACTTGTTGGAGTAATTACCGCAAAACAAAACAATCGAGTATACTTAAGAGGTTATTAACTATTGACGGAGGGCGGAAGTACATATAAATAGTTGATCTGTTGTTTTACTTCGGTTTACTGTTTTCATGGATTGCATTTGTTCGTTAACGTTTTCATATTCGTAATAATGATTGAATTTGGTTCCGAGTCAAAACAATGCTTTTTATGCGAGACAGTGTATTGTTAGCAATTTGCTATAAACCTGAATTGGAATAGAATAAATAATGAAAATAATATTTATTAATTTAAATAAATTTGATTTTGATATAATGAAAAAATATGATTCGATACAACTAAAATTGTTCGTTGCTTTAAAAAATGCTTCAGGTTGATTCAAGCAAACATTTTTTTGAATCAATAAAACTTGACGTTTAATTCAATAAAGCTGCTGGCATTACTTCAATTCTATATTTTTATTGAATTACTCTATGGAATTTATTGATCTATATTCTATTCAAAATTTTGTTTGAAATGAATCGTGCTTTATTTGGATGAACTATGTTTTTTTCTGCGTGTAGATCGTACCAATTCCAAGCGGAGGACGGAGTCGATCAGAAGGCGTGGATATCGGTGCTGATGAACTGTAAGGAAAAGGCACTGAACACTGTATTCTTACACTCAACGCCGCAGATGAGTCCTAGTTTTATCAAGCTACATAAGACGATGACATCCAGAACCTGCAACTTGTTGTGATCACCGATGTATGCAGATATTCCCAGTCAATGTACATTTATTATTCCTTTTTGTGGTATATTATTATTTATTAATGGTTTAAAAAATATAACTTAATCATTACTGAATCCTTTGCTTACTTTTTATCAATAAATCACTTGACAGCAGTCACTTAATGCATTTTGACCAATAAATGGACTATATATTGCACATTTCACACCAAATTGGACAAATAAACGCATTTTCACTTATTAAAAGGTGTGATAAAATTGCAAGTTTACGTCTAATCATCTTGGTGTCTTCGGTGCACTTATTCCTTATGATGCAAGCAATAAGTGCTCCGAAGACATCAAAACGATTTGACGGAAACGTGCACTTTTATCACACTTTTTGCATTTTTGGGACAGTCCAGTTTCAGATGCAATCAGCAATACATCCTAGGAATATCGCAAGTTTATACTAAGCAGTAAATAAATCATTTTTATACTAAGTTTGTATTCTCTCTCATTATACGGATCTATGCGTCAGGCAGGAGAGTTGCTAGCGTAGTTTTTAATCTATATAGATTTGAATATTTTTTGAGTGTACAAGATACTATAAATTAAAAGGGCGCATGCAACATTTTCATTTTTTTCGAGCTGTAAATAAAAATAATAATATTTTTATTTATCTCACCATAATGCTAACCAATAATAGAATAATTAGGAACAGTTAATTTCTAGGAATGGGTTTATAGTTTATATTATATTTAATAATTTTTGTTCAGAACTTCAGATTCATTTTTCTCAGTTCCTGCCCCACGGAACCGAATTTTGTTCATTTAAATCAAAAATATAAATGTTCATTCTATAAACTTATGAATAATTCAAAATAAATTAAAAACATGTTTGCAACAAAAATATATATGTTTGAATTAAAGTCAAAAGCATGTTTATTTCAACAATATAAAATTTGGGTAAACGATTTTTAGCGTGCCCTGCCTTTTTTTTCTTCTTGTTTACATTCGGAAAAAAATGCCCCAATCAACTGAAAACGGCCCGCAACAAAACCGAAGTCATGGATTCGGAAACCCACCTAGGTAAGTGTCTTAACAAAGTTCCAACTCGATAAAACCGGAGGAACCCCAGCGGTATCGACGTCACTCTGTCGCTTCTGATGCCGATCCTGTATCATCCTCCTCCACAACTGACGTCGAAAGAAAAACGAAAATCCGAAATAGATTTTGAATCTATTCCGGATACTCCAGCCCCCCCCCCCCCCCCCCTCCACGAACACCGAACGTAGAAAGAGGCCGGCATGAGGACCAGCGTTAGAAACGACGAAACGACGCCAATATCACACAGTTTCACTGGTTTTACTGAACTGAAACTTCCGGACACTCACCCCAACGGGTCCCCGCATCTTGGACCAGGACCCAACATCCACAGCTTACCCTTAATCGCACCCGAAAAAGAGCAGGAGCTTAGATGCCTTGTCTGCAGATCGTTTGTTCATCTCTTTGCAATCCATTTTTTTGCTTTATCCTGCTAATATAATTTAAAATTAAGTATGTTTCTTTCAAACATAAGAAGCATGTTTAAAATAAACATATTTATTTTTGTTCACATACTTGTCAAACCAAACAAAAATATTCACGTTTATTTTCAAAACGAATATTTTTAAAATAAACGTAACATTATTTTTGTTTTAAACATTAATATCACGTGACTTCAAACATGGAATACGTTTGAAATAACCTTGTTTATTTTTGTGGCCAGAACAAACTGAGTTTACGTTTAAATTTTCCTCAAATATTTTTGTTTCAACGATAAATTTTTCTGCGTGCCATTGCGACATTGGCCCAAATTCCAGCTCTATCTAGAGATGGAAAGTTATCGATTAACCCTGTTTGATGGTGGTTTGTGTGTTGCAATTATTTGACAACCGTTATAATATGTTATAACTCTCCCGTCTGGACAGCGTTTAATAGATTTTTGCAGAAAACAATTTCATTCAATTTTACTATTATTTCTATCAAAATTACTATTATTACCATATAGTTTTGCCAGAGTCATAGTAATTTTTTAACATTCATAGTCAACTATACTGAATTCATAGTAGATTTAACGGTAATAAGCGTGGTTATATTGAAAATAAGTATTTTCTGCAAAATAGTATTCTTAACTATGGCCCTTGTTTCAGTGTAGTCATTATTGGGTATTTTGCAGTTACCGTGCACTTATCACAACTATAAGCCAACCTGCGATGAGCACACTATGATCCAACTTTTGTTTTCCCACGACTTGCGTGCAAGCGTTTCTGTTTTTGTTTACATCGGTCATCTTCGCGACGCGAAACTCTGAAAGTTTTGAAATTTTCTGTGTTATCCAGAAGAAAAGGTATCCAAGTGGTAACAAAATTGAACAGTAACAGTAATAATTACATTTATTGTTCCACCAGTTGGTTGTTTTTTTTCATCCGAAACGAGAGATGTCCCGCTTTAAAATGGAGTGTGATCCTATGAACTCCCACAGACACAAACTAGGCAAGGAGCTGGTGTGCATCGAATACCCGGGGGTGGTGCGTAATCCTGACCGGATGATGGCATCGCTTGGTGGGGCCGCTGAACTTAGTATGGTAGGTGTTGTTACCGTGTGATTTTCATACATACTATGATTTGTAACTATGGCCGTTTTCAGGCAATCTGTTCGGAAAAGCGTCGACTGGAGGTACGGTTCCGTCCGGAGTCGATGTACTCAAAGCCAGCTTTCGGCGATCGGAATAACACTACCGGATTGGTGTTGAAAGTAAAAACTCGCCGTAAACGCAGTCAGCCAAATGAGGTGGAGATCCGTTCGTTGGAAATCGGTGGACGAGTCAGTATGGTTTTCAAATTCGAAACCATGTGTGACTTTCAGTTGCTGCCTGCATTCCGCAATCAAACCACCGGTGTAGTTGACTGCCTCTATGATAAGATGGTCCCCAAAGGGCTAACGACGTTGAATCCCACAGAAGGAGGGGGAGATGTCCCATACTTTTTGCCTCCCATCATGTTCAGTAGATTCGACACGGCTCAGTTGAGCATATTCAAGACGAAGGACGTTCTGACGGATTTGTTGGCTACAGGGGAGAGCGAACGTGCCAGAAGGACCAAGCACGGAATTTATCAATCGTTCAATTTGATAGAGCCATTTCCTACGGATCCGAATCCGTTGGCGATAGAATCCCTTAAAATGAGGAATATCCGACAGGAGGTTATAGATTCTGTGACGAAAAAGTTTGAGGAACGTCCAATCTGGACTAAGTCAGCCCTCAAGGGAAATCTGAGTGAAGATGATGTCCGATACTTGCTTCCGACTTTTGGGTTTTATTTCGTGAATGGACCTTGGCGTGGGACGTGGGTCCGATTCGGTTACGATCCTCGGAAACTTTTCGAGTCTCGCTACTATCAACTGTTGGATTTCCGAGTTCGAGCCATCGGAGCCATGCACGATAAAGTCAAAGTCAAGCGGTCGCAAAATCCCGTCCGGCCGTGTATGAGATCCAATCCGGTAACGAGTAACCGCGATGCCAGTAAGTCCAACGTCAGTCGGACCGCTCCAAAACAGCGCGATTACGCCTTCACGATGGACACTTTGCCCCAAATGAGGATAATTTTCTACCAATACTGTGATGTGCATGTTCCTCGGATTCAGCAGATGTTGGAAAAGATTCCAACCCCGAAGACGGGGGTGGTGTGCAACGAGAAGACCGGGTGGCTTCCGCCGAGGTTCGATGAACAGTGCAGGGACATTCTAACGGAGATTGTGCTGAAGAATTTCAAAGACAAAAAGGATGACGATCCCAGTGCAAGCGAGTTAGAGACAGGCGATGAGACCGAAGTGACGTACGATGAGGAGGAAGACGACTCCGAGGATGAGTTGAGAGATACAAAATTTATTGGCGAAACAAAGCAAAGCTAAAACTGGCTATGCGACTCCTAGTTTTAAGATCCGCAAATACAAAAATGATGATGTACTAAAAAAATGTAATGCAATACCATTTTCACCGACTAGCCATCTGCACACAGAGATTATTTTACTGGGGTCAGTAATTTTTTACTGGGTTTTCAAATAGCTGAAAACGTCAGTAAACTGAAAATAACGGTCACACGTAATGCAACGAACAATTTTAACATATTTTATTTTTATCATCAAATAAATGTAATAAGAACACAGTCTGTATAAATTTCAAGAAAAAATCACTTTTATACAATTTTTTTAAGTTTACTGACTTTTTCAGCTGTTCAAAAACCCAGTAAAAAATTACCGAACAGGGAGGCCGTGATTTTGTGTGTGAATCAATCGTCACTTTGATTCTTCAATATAGGTAGTTAAGTTGTGAAGAAAACACTCACTGTTGTAATACAGGTATTTTATTTCTCTCCAAATACATTGTACCACATTCAGGCTTCTTCTGCGCCTCGTGTTATGCCCGGTTTTTTGATACTTAAACAACGATCTTTAATAATGGTACCGAAACAAAAAAAAAAGAAATTTCAAACTAAAAATGCCTGCCTATTAATCGCTTCTATATTCTTATATAAATCGACAGCATACAATCGGGTGTATATTTAAAGAACCAACGGAGCTGTGGCTCGTGACATGACACCAATCGAGCACAATATCTCGTTGCCCTCCCAAACAATAACGACTGTCGAACTCAAGCAAAAACCGATACCTTACTACATAGACTTATTAAAAAAAATGCTTCCCTGTCCGACCACTATTCGATACCGATTTACTGTGGCAAGTTGAGCAGCGTCGTTTGTCCCGCTGGCAGATAGGTGACACCTCGAGACCGGCTCATTTGATAGGCAATGTCCTCGGCCGCTTCGATTCTTCTCAGTTCGACCAAACCATCTCCACTGTCGCCAAACGATTTCGCCAGCAGAGCAGCAGCCTCGGCGTCACCCTGCGCGGAAATGATGGCCGCTATCTTCATCTGTTCAGCCTTTTCGACCATGAATCGAGCCTTCTCGGCTTCCTGTTGGGCAACCTGCTTCATTTCGACAGCCTGCGTGAATTCCTTTCCGAAGGTCAAATGCGTAATCGAAATGTCATCCAAAATGACGCCGAACTGAGCGGCACGTTCGGTCAGATCGTCAGATACCTTCTGCGACACCATCTCACGCTGGGTGATCAACTCTCCAGCGTCGAACTGTGCAACGACTGCCTTCAGCACTTCAGTCGTAATCGACGGCAGCACACGCTCGTCGTAATCCGGACCTAGAATCGTATAGATCTTTGGCAACTGATCTGGAATTGGTCGGAACAGGATACGGAGCGTGATGTTCACATTCTGCAAATCCTTACTACCGGTTATCACCGGCACATTTCTGGGCTGCGAACGGATATCGAAAATAATCGGTCGCTGAACCCACGGAACGAAGAAATGGGTTCCCTCGCCGGACACCTGCTGTTTGACACCGGTGAAACGATCGAAGATCACAGCACGGTGACCACCATCAACTGTAAAAAAAAGACAGACATGGGTCAGAACGAGATGGAACAGATAAGGCACACGGCAACAAACCATTATATAACGCCGAATTCACGACACCGCCGACGATCGCAACGCCCAGGCCCAATTGACCGATTCGGTTCAGGAATTGTGTGGCCATTTTTCGCTGTGAAAGTTAAGTCTGAAAACGTACCAAACGGAAATAAAAAGATATAGTACAATGTAGGTATTTACATTCTATTTCCAATAAATTTCGTCATAATTTCCACCATCGAGGTTAGGTTATCGACTAACAAACGCCGATTTCATTCCTTGGTGAAATTCATTTTTAAATCGTCATGTTACAAGACAAATCCATCAATTACCTTTTAAAGTGGATCCTGAGATGAATGTTTTGTAAATTACGCAGCTAAATGCTACCGATTTTGCGTAACAGCGACGTGAACTTCACGAACGAAACAAAATGCGTGCACTTTTCGAGAGAATTTTTCTAATTTTGACGTTTAATTTTTTGTTACATTTTGATGTGACAAATTTCTATGTTGTCAATTGTGAGTTCTCAATCAGGGCTAGTTAAAACCTGTATACAGCGTTGCCAGATAAACCGATTTTCGGTATCTGTAGTATCACCGTTTTTTGAACACTTTTATACCGACCAACAATCAACAAGAAACTATCGATTTGAAATTGGCTCACTACTTGACTAGCCTATTGGTCCCAAGCAAATCGATTAACTTACCCCATTCTAGTCAACATTCTAGTGCTACACAATGTTTGTTTTGATTCGCTATACACAGCAAAAAAATGTAATATCGATCAATGTAATTCAAGCTGGAAATAATGATGTAATATTATGCTATTAGATATACCATCCCGCATAAACGCGAACCATAAATTGACGTTACCTAAAATGGTTAAAAATTGTTTATAATCCCTGCTAAACTTTAACTGAAATGGTTATGGAACTTTACATGAACGTTTAATGATAAAGTTTCAACCTTATGTATTATGGTTTTTTGAAAATGGACCTTACAAATAATGGGTTGTTAAGAACCATTACCATTCCAAATTCTTGTTTTCTCCATACATTTTCAGAAAGAGAACTATATAAGAACGTTTTTACTTATGATTTGAGAACATTAATGGTAATGGTTATGGTAGTCAGTAAGGTCCATTAATGGTTTTATATTATCGCTCAACTTTACGTGGAATATATCGTGAATTGGTAATCAGTAAATTACAGGCAACCAATTCGCGATATTTTCCACATAAAGTTGATCGATGTTACAAAACCATTCGTGGACCTTACTGACTACCATAACCATTACCATTAAAGTTCTCAAACCATAAGTGGGTATATAGTAATGACTGTAACCTGGAACAGACTCAAGAACAGACTATTCATTCTAGCATTTCGCATTGCGATATAAGCATAGAGGTAACTCTCAGACCAGAAGGTCCCGAAGAAACGTGCTCAACTTTTTGGCTCAGCTCTGGTATTCTCTTCGGTCCCAAGCTAATCGATGCACCCCTCGAAACATAGGAAAATCCACGGACCCCTCATTTTATCTGTCAAACTTTCATAGCGAATCAAAACAAACATAGTGTAGTACTAGAATGTCGACTAGAATGGTGAAATCTAACGATTTTAAATTGGGGCACTACCTAGGGGCACGCAATCACCTTTAACATCAACGCAGACAACGACTGTAATTAAATTAATTCCATTAACTACTGCTTTAATTACATTAATTACACAATGTAGAACATTAACTAATTTTTAACCCCATTAATTACAGTTGAAATTTCGTAATTAAAGTACATTTTTTTTTATCTAGTTCGTTTATTTGTAAGGCTCAATCGCGTTAGCTTTACGGAGCCGATAATTCATTGTTCTTTGTTTGTAACAAAATTCACTTAATTCTATGTCTAGTAGGAGTTGGGCCGGATACTCGCGGCTTACTCGAGGTTAGAGGGGTACATTGTCGAAGGATAGGAAAAGGGGAGGAGCTTGGGAGTAGGGTATCGTTGCCTCATCAGAGCGTTGTCGCCAGTGTGAACGGTAGTGTGGTTCTAGATTCGTCTGGAGTTCGACCGGCTATGGTGGACAGTGGGCGACGATGAGGCTCATCGAGACGGGGGACAAGACAAACAAAAACTAATAAAGAGATACAAAAGACAAACGAATTAAATTCTTATACTAGACATTTGCAGAAACACATAAATCGACTGCATATAGCAGAGATCGCGGGTACCCAACACGTCTCTGATAGGGATACAGGGTTGTCTTCCTTGGGCCTCGAGGGTATTCAAAAGTCGCTCTCTGGCGGCGTCATTATCCGTACATTGCCAAACTGCGTGATCGATGTCGTCGTAACCGTTTCCACACCGACATATGTTGCTGTCCACGAGGTTTATTCTATTGAGATGCGCATCTAGCGAGTAGTGGTTGGACATAAGTCTACTCATCACGCGAATAAAGTCACGACTTAAGCCCAAGCCTTTAAACCACGCTCTCGAAGAAACATTAGGAATAATTGAATGTAACCACCGTCCAAGATTTCCATTGTCCCAATCGGTTTGCCAACTCGAAAGGGTACTCTGACGCACTAAATGGTAAAATTCATCGTGTGAAATTTGCCTGTCATAAAATTTGCCTTCCTGCGCGCCCACCTTTGCGAGAGAGTCCGCCTTCTCATTGCCTGGGATTGAGCAATGTGAGGGGACCCATACAAAGGTAATCATATATGATCTTTCGACCAGTACACTCATCTGCTCCCTTACCTTTGAAAGGAAATAAGATGAGTGCCTACTTGGTTTCATCGACCGAATAGCCTCAATCGAACTGAGACTATCCGAGAAGATGAAGTAATGGTCTGTGGGCATGTTGGAAATCATCCCCAATGCGAAGTTGATTGCTGCCAGCTCAGCAACATAAACAGAACAAGGTTCCTAAAGTTTGCGGAAGGCGCTAGAGTTTTCATTGAAGACACCGAAGCCAGTGGACCCATTGAGACGTGACCCGTCTGTAAAATATCTTTTCACGCAATTGACGTGTTGGTACTTTTCAGTAAAAATACGCGGGATAATAATAGTTCGAAGTTGATCTGGAATCCCATGAGTTGCTTGTTTCATGGTCAGATCATATTCAATTGAGGAACTGCGATTGGTGAAGTGAGCACGGTCTGGAGTGTAACAAGGAAGACACATATCTGACGATATGTAGTGGTGGTAGATTCTCATAAATCGAGATTGTGTGTTCAGCCCAAGAATTTCTTCAAAATTTTCAATTATAAGTGTGTTCGTCACTCCGCATTTGATTAGTATTCTGAGAGAGAGCTCCCAGAAACGGTTCTGGAGGGGTGTTACTCCTGCCAGAACCTCGAGACTCATGTTATGCGTTGAGTGCATACAGCCGAGAGCAATACGCAGACAACGATATTGAATTCGTTCCAATTTTATTAGGTGACATTTTCTTGCCGAGAGAAAGCAGAAAGAGCCGTACTCTAGAACAGAGAGAATAGTTGTTTTATAAAGCGTTATGAGGTCTCCCGGATGAGCACCCCACCATGTGCCGCAAATTGAACGGAGAAAGTTGATCCTCTGTTGACATTTTTGCTTCAAATACGTAATATGGGTATTCCAAGTGCACTTTGAATCAAACCAGACCCCAAGGTACTTGAAAGACAATGATTGAGTAATGTTTCTGCCCAAAAGATTAAGATGCATTTGGGCTGGGTACCGCTTTCGAGTAAACACTACCAGTTCAGTTTTCTGCGGCGAGAATTCGATCCCTAGATTCCTAGCCCAAGAAGACAAGTTATCTAAGGAACATTGCAATGGTCCTTGCAAGTCCACGGCATGTGGACCTCTTACGGAAACCACACCGTCATCTGCAAGTTGTCTTAGCGTGCATTGTTCTGCCAAACAGTTGTCGATATCTTTGACATAAAAGTTATAAAGAAGAGGGCTAAGACATGAGCCTTGGGGCAGGCCCATGTAGCTAATTCTGGAAGTTGTCAGTTGTCCAAGGGAAAAGTTCATTTGCTTTTCTGACAACAAATTGTACAAGAAATTATTTAAAATTCCGGAAAGTCCACATCTGTGCAGATTGTCTGACAGAATTTCAATGGAAACTGAATCAAAAGCCCCCTTAATGTCCAAGAATACTGAAGCCAATTGCTCCTTGTGCGCAAAGGCCAGTTGAATATCTGTGGAAAGCAGCGCTAGACAATCGTTTGTTCCTTTGCTCTTGCGGAACCCAAACTGTGTATTTGATAGCAAGTTATTTGTTTCAACCCACTGATCGAGTCTCCGAAGGATCATTTTCTCCAACAATTTCCTAATGCACGAAAGCATCGCAATCGGACGGTATGAGTTATGGTCAGACGCTGGTTTGCCAGGTTTTCGAATGGCTATTACCACAAACGAAGTGACAGACGACTTACTGGCGAAGAAATCCATTAAAATAATGTGGTTCACTGTAATAGAATTTTCTTGGAAGCTTGTGCCATCATCCACCAGATGGGTTAGTTTTTTTGTTTTGATTTGAACAAAGTTGATTTTGTGTACAATGATTCTTTGACAGTGTGCAAAGAGTGTGTATCATTTTGTCATTTTTTTATGCATTTCAGTTTTGAGTAGAGTGAAAGAGATAGAACCAAAATATTTTAGTACATTTGGTGAAAATGCTAGTTCAATCCAATAGTAGTGTTGCCATGTGGTACAATCCAGTAGTAGTGGTGTTGCCATGTGGTACACTGAAAAATTGCAATAGCAGGTTAGTCACCAAAGTTTTCGAGCCGCTCCGTCTGTCACTTCGTTTGTGCTATTACTTTGACCTGTCTCCATTCAGGCGGTATAATGTTGTTTTCTAGTAAGGAATTGAATAAGTCTAGCAAGCGTCTTTTAGCGATATCTGGGAGATTTTTCAGAAGATTGAATTTAATCATATCGCTTCCCGGTGAGGAGTTGTTCGATGAAAGAAGAGCCATAGAGAATTCCAGCATTGTGAATGGTCTATCCAGAGAGCTGCCGCTCGGAGACGCTTCTCGAAGAATGTGTTGTGCTGGAGCTGAGTCCGGACAGACCTTATTAGCGAAATCGAATATCCATCGGTTGGAGTATTCTTCACTCTCATTAGAAGATGAGCGGTTACGCATGTTCCGAGCCACCCTCCACAAGGTGTTCATTGAGGTTTCTCGTGAGAGTCCCTCGACGAAATTGCGCCAATAGCCGCGTTTCTTTTCTTTGACTAATTGTTTCAGCTTTGTCTCAAGCTTTGAATATTCCTCGAAGTATGTGGAGGTTTTGTGTCTACGAAAAGCTTTGAAAGCATCAGATTTTTCTACATACAATTTTGTGCATTCTTCGTCCCATCCAGGTGTGGCTGGTCTCCTTTTGAAGGGCGCACTTGGAACTTTTCTTTTTTGTGCTTCCAGTGAGCTTTTGTATATCAAATCGGCGAGGAATCGATATTCTTCCAATGGTGGA